TCTGCCCCGGCCCGGAGTCACCCGCTCTGTCCCGCAGGCCCGCAGCCTCGGCGCCCGGCCGGCCGCAGCAGCACCGGTCTCGCGGAGCGGCGCCATGGCCCTGTCCCAGGTGCAGTGTCTGGACGACAGCCACGTGAACTGGCGCTCGAGCGAGGCCAAGCCCGAGTTCTTCTACAGCGAGGAGCAGCGGCTGGCGCTGGAGGCCCTGGTGGCCCGCGGCCGGGAGGCTTTCTACGAGGTGCTGCAGCGCGAGAACATCCGCGACTTCCTGTCGGAGTTGGAACTCAGGCGCATCTTGGAGACCATCGAGGTGTACGACCCGGGCTCGGAGGATCCTCGGGGCACCGGCCTCGCCCGGGGGCACCAGGACAGCGGGGTTGGTCACTGTGCGGAGGAGGCCAGCGGAGTGGGCGGAACCCCTGCCGAGGCCGAGCCGCCCCCCTCGCTGGAGTACTGGCCCCAGAAGTCCGACCGCTCCATCCCGCAGCTGGACCTGGGCTGGCCCGACACCATCGCCTACCGCGGAGTGACGCGGGCCAGCGTGTACATGCAGCCCCCCATGGAGGGGCAGGCCCATATCAAAGAGGTGGTGCGCAAGATGATCAGCCAGGCCCAGAAGGTGAGGAGCCACGACTGGGAGTTCCTGCAGAGGTGGCTGGGGCCCGGCGTGGGGACCCCAAAACGGTCTCCTGTGGGTCTCTTTGCTACCTTCTGGTCGCTTCCTAGAGGGAGGTTCCTCCTGGACCTCCTGGGATTTCTGTTTCTTTGCAAAGGAGTAGGGTTCTGGAGCCCTCTAGCAGGGGACTGGGGCTGCCTCCTTTCAAAGCATCGGGCCTGTGTGCAGGTTCCCCAGTAGATGCTCTGAGGGGTGGGGTGGGGAGGAATGGCACAGCTTTCTCTTACTACTGTCCTTTGGATGACACGGATTCACTCCTGAGAGTCGAGATTCTCTCACACACCATGAGCTCTGGTGAAGAGGGCTTTTGTTGTGATTTGGGGTGATAGACGTGGGGATTAAGAAGCAACGCAAGTCTGAGTCTGGCTTGGAGATGTGAATTCAAATCTGCTGTTTCCTGGCTATGTTGAGCAGAGAGTGAGTTGTTCAACTTCTCTGAGCCCTTTTGTGAGCTTTGCAAAGGCAAAAACTCTCCTGGGGAGAGAGATGGGGAGATGCCTCAGGACATACCTGTGGTCCTAAGTGGAAGAGGAGTGAATTCTGATGAAGACTGTCCACTTGGGCTGAGCTTTGCCTTTGGTTTTTTTGTTTGTTTGTTTGTTTGAGCTTTGCCTTTGGAAGGGTTCTCAGGCCCCATCTGGACCTCCCCTTCCTCTGCTGCTTAGCTGGGCAGTGCCTCACTGACCCAGTGACACACATACTGGGAAGGGTGCAGGCAGAGACTGGGAAGGGTGCAGACAGCCAGGCCATTGCCTAAAGCTATGACCACAGGCACATGCTCCTTGCAGATGACTTTTCTTGGTTTCTGAGCATGTCCTGGAGTGACTGACCCCTAGTGGGCTGTGTTGAGAAGGATTCTGAAGCCAGTTCTGGCCTGGGCTTGTGGGATGAGGGTTCCTGGCTGAGTCTTAAGCCTATTGCTATTCTAACCCCAGAGTGGAGCAGCTGACTGCACCAGGCCGGAACACTGGCTCTGGGGATCATCCTGGCTCACAGGTGACTCTGGGGAGCTCTTGGGCAGAGAATCCAAAAGTAGCTTAGCAGCGGATGAAGTGGCCCCTGGCTCAGGTTTCTAGGAAGTGGAGTTCTTGCCCCACAAGGGGCCTGGGATCCAGGTGGCTCTGGGGCTTCCAGTTTCTAGTCTGTGAAGTGGGATGGTGAGAGCAAAAGCTGAGCCTCTGGCTATTGTGAGGATGGAGGTGGAGGGGTGTGGGGAGGAGGAAGGGATCCTCATAGTTATTAGGTGGAATAACTCACTCCACACCTGCCAAGGGGGAGGAGGGTGCCACTGATGTCAGTGATTGTGGGGGTGGCTCTGGCTGGGCACAGAACCAGTTCTGAGAAGGTCTGCTGTGACCCTGTCACCCGGCTTCATTCCCATTTTTAAAATGGTGAAACTGAGGCCTGCGGTGGGGAGGGGCTTGACCTCCTGTGCCTTTCCTCTCCTCCAATAATACCACTGTGCAGCTCAGCCTGGGCACAGCCACAGTGACTGATCTCCTGTAGGCAGAATGACAGCCAGCCTGTCCCAGTGATGAGGCCAGATAGGGGCGCCATGGGCCAAGCTTTCTGTGCTGCATCCTGCATCCTCCCCAAGTCTGTGAGCACAGCTGAGACCCAGCCTTTTCATGCCCCCCACCCCTGAACAAGCACAAGGTTATTGGTGTCACCTGTTTGAGGTGACAGGAAGTGCTGGACTCCAGTGCCAGGCCTGGTCTGTTTGTGTGGCATCATTGTCACAGCTCCCCAGGTCTGACAGGAGGGGCTTCAGAGGCAATGGAGGCCAAGCCCACCTGTCACAGACAAGGAACTCTGCAGCGTGGAGGGCAAGATTTGTTCATGTTCACCGAGTGCTACTTTGAACCAGGCTCTGGCTCTCTAGCCCTTGGGCATCCCTGCCACATCTGTCACTGACGCATGGTCAGATTGTGTGCGTGGGCAGGCAGTGATCACCATAGGTAGTATGGATGGAGTGGTGTTTGGGGTAGTCTTATCTCAGGGAGTGTTATCTTTACCATTTCTCAGATGTAGAAACTGAGGCCAGGCTGGTAAGTCTTTGCCCAAGATCACCTGGCCAGCTCTTGGATGGAGGGTGGTGGGCAGACCTGTTTCCACCCAAAGGCTAGGGCCTGTCCTTTGTGTCTGCCCCTTGTGTCTGGGCAACAGTAGCAGGATAAAGTGACAGGCAGGGCCTGGGAGGGGCAGCTGAGCCAGATGACCTGTAATCCTTTTCTCCCCTGCCCTGGCTGCTTCCCAGGCTCATGGGGCAGGGCGGGGTGCTGACAGATGCAGACAGGGTACTTTGCTCACCTGGTGGGGAGCTCCCTGCCTTATCTCTCCTGATGATCACCTCTTATCCCCTTCCCCTTGCCTTCTCTTTTCACCCTGAAGCAGTGCAGGAGAACCCAGCCCCTAGGCCTGGATGGGGATTTTGCTGTCCTGGCTGCAGGCCACTCGTCGGCCCCCTTGCCACAGGAGTTTCTGGGCTGTGGCTGTTGGCACTGAGTCAGGGCGGCCCAGCCTGCCACCTCCTCACTCACCCGGCCCTGCCGTCAGCACGACAGCAGACCCCGGGGCAGGGAAGTGACACAGCACACACTCGGCCCACGCAGGCCCGGCCCCTGGGGAGCAGCCGCGTTCCCATCAGGACTACCCTACTGTTCCCCCTTGCAGATAACCGGGGTGGGGTAGTGGGTAGTAGTACCAGGGTCAAGCAGTGTGAGGTTAGGCCCCTGCTGTGCTGCTACCTGGCTGTGGGACCCGGGACACAGCCCAGCTCTTGCCACCTTGTCTGTGAAATGGGTACAGACATTCAAGACTGTTAAGGGTCCCTTCTGCCCCGACACCCTGCCCTGTGATTCCAAGCTCCTCTAGGACAATGGATGGGTGGTCGTGCATCTAATGCCCCTGGCTGTGTGGCTCTGAGCCAACAGCTTGTGCTCTCTGAACTGCCCTCTAGTCTCCCTGGGTTCTGACTCCCAAGTGGAAGGTCATGGGCATGCCTTCCCCGACCCTCGGGAGCCAGGGGTTTATCTGATGAAAAGCCTGCTGTGGGTTTCCAGCTGCATGCCGGGTTCTGGGCCTGTGGAATCATGCCCAGGAGGGGCAAGCCCAGCTGCTCTCAGAGAGGATGAGGCTGGGTGAGGTTGGGGAAGTGGCTGGAGAGTGGTAGCCCCAGCCAGAAGGGAGCACAGGTGACCCAGCAGGCCCCCTTTCTGGCCAGTACTGAGCCCCCAGTGCTGGCAGATGCCTTTACCAGCCCTTGACAACCAGGGAGCGGCCCTGGGGACAGAGACAAACACGCTTTACCACTTTACAGCTGGGGAAACAGGGAAGACGAGTTGCCAGGGGTGAGACCCCAACTAGAACCCAGATCTGTGCTTGCCAGGCCAGGGCATGGGAGTGGAGATCAGAGAAGTTAAGTGTCTTGTGCAGGGCCATACAGCAGGAAGCAACTTGAGCCCAAGCTTTATGATGCCCGATTAACCTGATGTCTTTCTGTCAGGTCCCCGCCTTCACACACTGGAGTTCTGGCCCTCAGCTTGGCTCCAGGAGAATAAAAGCAGCTTAATGAGGCATTTATTAAATGCCAGCTACATGCCCGGTGCTGAGCAGGCACTTTCCTCACACTGCGCAACCCTCAGCACCACTCTATAAAGTAGGTGTTGTGTCCATTGTCCAGAGGAGGAAACCAAGACCCGGTGGGGCTCGGAGAGGTCAAATAACCTGCCCAAGGCCACAGAGCTGACAACTGGAGGTGCTGGGCCCAAGACCTGGGTCTGAGCTCCGAGTCCTACTCCCCACAGAAGCAGCAGGCTGGCCCTTCCCGGTCTGACTCAGGACGGAAAACACAGCTTCTCCAGGCTCCTTGGCCTCTAGACACTGAACACCCTGGGGCTGGCCATGGGGAGCCGTGGTGGTGCCGGCCCCTGTGGCCTGGGAGTTGGCCGGCCCCTTCCTGGCACCAGGAGGGTGGGCATCCAGTGCACCCTCAGCTGGCAGGGGTCACATCATGACATCACAGTGACGACAGCCTGCAGACACAACAGCAGTTCTGTACATCATGTTACCTGGTGACATAGAGCATACTCTGTGTTCACACAATGAAGTCTAGAAGGGCATTTTCCAGAACGTGTCCCTTATGTTAAGCTGTGCACTGGCGCAGAACCACCCCCGCACCGAGAGAGGCTGTAGTGGTGATGGCCCAGCTGGAGCCCAGAGGGGCAGTGGTGGCCCAGGCTCCTTCCTGCTCTGGCAGCTTCCAGCCCAGGGCCTGGGACTCACACCTGTCAGGGTGGGAACCATCTGATATCATAATCCCAGGTGCTGGCTCCTGTCTTCTCCCCACGGCGCTCGCGCTGTAATTGTGTGTTGAGCTGGGAGAGGCCCTTCCAGGAAGGAGCCTGTGAGGCGGCGGCTGCAGCCATCTCTGGATCTTGAGCGGGCAGCAGTTCACCTGCCAAACTGCTTTTATGTCAGGTGATACAAGCAGATGATGAGTGCAGAATGGATCCTACAGGGTCTTTGGTTGGCTGGGCCTGCGCTGGGTTCCATGGAGTTCTGGTCTCCCTGCAGCTGAGAGTCCTGCCCTCTGGGCCAACAGAGGGACTGGTCTTCCTGGAGGCCCTGGCTCACCTGCCTGACTTAGCCATTCCCGTGCCACACAGGCCTCGGTTTCTTCATCTGTAGCATGAAGGCCGGCTACTTGTTTTACAGAAGTGACAGACGTGAGTGCTTGGAAGGGCTGAGTGCTTGGAGGCTGCTCAGTGGGGCAGCGTTGTCCCTCCATGTCATGAGCAGCCAAGAGGGAAGGAGGCTTGTCCCTTGTGCCCCGGCACGGGTTGACGCCTGCCAGCCAAGCTCTGGTTGGGTGAGCTGCCCTACCTCCTTTTGTGGGGTCTGAATGACCCTGGGCTTGGACCTCTTCTAAGTTAAATTTCACA